AGAATAAATCGTCAGTTATTCGACATTTTTCAACCGACTTCAAAAAAAAAGGAGGAGGTTCTCAATTCGACCCGTATGTTTTTTTTTTCTATGTTTGTTACGCGATAACTCCGCCAATTATGAACCGATTTGAACAAATCTTTTTTCGGCGTATAGGTAATACCTCAAGGGTGGTCCCATTTAAATTTAATAATAGAAAAAACAACCCCCAAGGGTGGAAAATTGGGGATGAACTTTTTTATACGCAATATCTCCGCCGATTATAAATCAATTTGAACGATTATTTTTTTGTTGAATAGGTATTATCAAAAGGGTGATTTCATGCGAATTTGAAGAAAATATTTCACCCCCAAGGGTGGAAAATTGGGGATGAACTTTTTATATGCAATATTTTTAATTTTTAGTTTTTTTTTGTGTTCACGCATTTGAAGTCGGTTTTATTTTTTTTAAAAGTTAATTATGACATACATATTTCCCATACTGAAAATGTCAATGTGTCAGTTGTTATACCATGAGTTATTCTCGGATAAAAGTTTGGTCGAATCGGGCCTTAGTAATTTAGTAGAGCAAACAAATAAGTAATTGGAATTCAAACACAAATTGAAATTTAATTTTCGACGAATGCGTGTCCGAATACGCTGGCGTTTTTCAGTGAGCTGTGACAGACAACCCCGATCCAATTATTATTACAAGCTCCCGGTTCTTACCACAAATGAAATTTTAACGTCACCCGCTGCCACTGCTTGGCACATGTGCGTTATCGAATTACCGCCTTCGGCCGCGCGCGACTCTGCACGCTCATTGCGAGTTAATGTCATCAACAGTTGGAACTTAACAAATGCTCATAATTATTTGAAAATAAATGACAAGACAGTTAAAATAACCACCCGCCGATGGGGAACAAAACTAAAGTTTCTCATAAGTTGTGACTTTAAAACCACTCTTGCTGTAAATCTTTGCAGCCTTATTCATTGGAAACATATTTGGTAATGAAGAATCTGTATAAAGTACCCCTACTCTTCGTAAGTACCTACTATTTAAATAGTCTATGACTCTATGCAAATAAATAAATTTTGACTTTGACTCTACTTACACCGCAATAACATATTGTATTTTTTGGTCTTACTGACCATATTGTACAGAAAATATTGGACAAAGTATTCATACACGTGTTCACGGCGTGTTTCCGAGTAATTGGAGTAAAAATAAGTTCCGTGACTTGTGGAGCTCATTTGCGCTATTCAGCGCTGCGCCCAGTCGCCGGAGAAAATTGATAAATTTCACGCGGCGTCCTAGGAAATATTCGGAAAACCTTTCGAATGCTCAGATTCCAGTTTAATCCTTATTGATTATTGTTATTTAATTTTTATATTATTACCGTACAACTGAGTCATCTTTTTAAATACTTATTGAACCATTGAATCTTTTTTTTTTTATCCACAACGAGGAAGCTCTTGGCCTGTATCTCACCTGATGGTAAGTGACAATCAGGCCGAAGGTGGAAGCGAGCTTCACCCGGAATCCTCAACCATGAAGGAACTGGCTATGGCCGGAACACAACAATGCTGTTAACATTGTTGTTATGGCGACAGACTTAGGTAAGATGGTGGTAGCTAGCCAGGCGGACTTAGAACAAACCCTACCATCAACCAAACCGAACAGAAAAATCTGCCCCCACTGGGAATCGAACCCGGGACCTCTGCGTCTGAAGCAGGTGGTCTTACCACTAGACCACAGAGGCGGTTATCGTAGCCTTATTAACATCAAAGTAGACATCACAACTGTTTAGGTACACAATCTAAAGTTCACTAATATTATAAAGCTGAAGAATTTGTTTCTCATTAACTAGTGGTCCGATTTGAAAAACATTTGTGTTCTATTTCAATAGCCCATTTTTCGAAGAAAGCTTTAGGCTATAAATTCCTAAAAGTAGTGTAGGTACTACTCACGGATAAAATGGTCAGTTCAGTCTGCACATATTTGATGTACTTAAATTTGACTATTCTTACCGTTAGATAATTCCTGGCAATAAGTGGTGACTGAGTTTGTTCCGGCGTTTCTTCTCAGCACTTGCCATATGTTTGTCTCGAAGCGCTGGTAGGGCCCAAAAGATAAGGAGACATGTAAAGTGCCCCATAAGGGCTACCTTTTCTTTTTTTATTATTTTCTATTGACGTTCATAAGTGCCACTTGTGGTCTGAAACTGAATAAATATTTTTGATTTTGATTTTGAAATCATGATTGCATTAAAAATGTTGTAAATGTCAGGGAAATTATTTTCAACGGCTTTTCAGTATTAAGTGGCTGAATTATTGGCCGATTTATCGTTAGAAATGAGATTCAAAGCGTTAATATATTTTCGTCGCGAGCCATCGAACGATGCAGTTTTTCAAATTACTCCATTCTTATTGAAATCAGGAGCTTCACTTTCCAACTGGAGGAACATTTGGAACTTCGTTTTCAAATGGAAACGATTTTCCTTGAAACTAGGAAATAATTTTGATTTAATAAAACGGAAGAGTTCATAACGGAGTATTCAAGCTGATTGCTCGACCGATTTAAACATGCGAATGGAGTCTAAGTAGGTAGAACCTACATATTTGGAATTATACGAGTATGAACGAGAAGTACTTTTGCTCAATTTACTTTACCTGCAAGTGTCGTGAGTTCGACTTGTAGGTTATAATAATTAAATGAGCTATGTCTAACCACATTTAAAGTAAGAGACAGTGGTTTTCAATAAGATTACGCATTCTTAAGCCGAAATTGGCTTGAAAATACCCAGTGTTTACCTATTTTTTATATTACTACCAAAATGTCTACAAAGATGGTGTGGATAAAACGAAAGCAAAGATAAAAATAAAATTATTTATTTGCGAATTCTCGTACTTACATTTATCTATTCAGGTTGTAGTTAAATACATTAATATGCAAATTTAAGGAATTCCTGAACAGGTAGTAGTCAGCCATTCCTGAAGTTTTTTCACCATCAATTTTGTAGGATTATGCAAGGTTCATTCATGTCGTAGCAGTTTTCGTAGTTGCGCTCCTATTCGTTGCTACGTCGTAGTCAGCGTATGTAGCCGCGCGTCTCTTTCGTAGCAAAGACGTTGAAATTTGTAGTTTAAAGTTGATCAGCAGAACTAACTTCCCGATCTTAACCGATTTCGCTCCCGCAACGAGGACGGCGAACTGCAAACGTGTCACTATGACCCCTCCCCTTCCCTGCATAATGTACAGCTCTTGTGAATTAAACGCCAGCCGCGAATGACGCAAACTGCGTGGAACTATTGTAATACCGCATTAACATAATGTTATGGAACTTTTGAATTTATTGGCCGTATTGCATAATACATTTCTATTTCTAAGTTGTGAAAAATAGGCAAAATCTAGTTGCAGGTGCAGATATTGAATGCGCCAGAACAGATTTTGAAAGCGAGTGCAACTATTACAACTAGGTAGGTTTAATAGATATATGGCATGTGTGTTTTCCTGAATGTTGAATTAGTACATTGGCATTTGGCAAAGCATGTTCAAATCATATTATTTCGTAATACCTACTACAATGTAAAATATGGACCTTCTGATGAACCACGGGAAAAAAAGTTTCCCGTAGTATACCTAGGTGAACCACGCGGGTGGATAACGGGCAATAGAGGTTTTTTCCTCTCCTCACTTGTCAAAAATTGTTTTCAATTAAATTGTTATAATTGTTTACGTAGTAAACAGTTATTGAACATAATATATCTTTATAATTAACCTAAAGCATTTTCAACTTTGTCCAGCAGTGGACGTCATTTGGCTGAAAAAGAAAGAAAGAAAGAAGAAGAAAAGCATTTTCAGTCAACATAGCAGCCGCTGTGTAATACATAATCTGCTCAAATAATACAGCGTATCGATACAAACTCATTAAGTAAATCATAAAAAAATTCTAGAGATTATTTTATCAATACATGTTAGAATATTTAAAAAGAGTGCTCAGATCACAAAGTGGAAAGAAAACCCTTTGGTTTCTCAGTAAAAAGGGCTGCGGAACTTTGCGACAGGAATGTGAAACTTTACCAAATTAATTTTCAAGCCACATTAATCGTATTTTACGTGGGCATAGTTCTCCTGATTACTTTTTAATTAATTCCAAACTCACCTCTAATCTCGTGACACGGATCTATTGAACATTTTCACGAAGGATCAGTTGGTAGAGTTATTATTTACATTTCCAAGAAAAACAAGCAAGTGAAAAACTTCACTTGAATGTTACGTGTAGTTTCAGAATAGACAGGAAAAAGCTTTTTCTAGATAGTAAAATAGAGGAAGGGTTTGAGCCTAAAAGGTCTACCTACACCACGTCTCATGGGTGTTTAAATCCGCTTTTATCAATATTCGAGTGAATATTAATGGCCTATCGCTATTGTTCAGTCAATTACATGAGTGCTCGGAATATTATTTTTTTCTCTTAATGCTTCAGGTTGATGGGAAGTCGTGTTTTACCTAGATAGTAAACCTAAGTTGTCGCACACGTTATATCTTAACCATAAGACAGATTGTTTGCCAGTACTGAACTTCGTGCCGAGGAAATTTACTGCCGCAGGGATAATGGGCAGATACGCATCAGATCGGTTAGAGCAACCTTAGCGGCGCCTACTGCTAATGAAATCTAATTTACTTGTTTGTTCCTTGGCGAAGAAAGCATGAATTTCCTTGTGTTTTCTAAACTAACTGAATAAAGTACCTATTTACACTTGTCAATTCTATATACATATAGTAATCACGTAGACTGATGGTAATATGGGAAAACTGCTAGTCGAGAATGCCTTAAAAGGCATTAAGTTCACCTTATGTTCAAATTTATTTGGCATTAAAGTATAAATAAATAAATAAAACTGAAACAACTCTTGCCGGGGAAACATTAAAAACAGTTTGTACAGGGCACTTGCACACGTAACAATAATGTGAAAACAAAAACGTCGTAACAAAAATGCTAAAGGCTCGCTTGTCCACAGTGCCGTCGGCGCGCATCCTGGGCGGGCCCGACCTGCACGTGGACATCGGCTCCACCATCAACCTCACGTGCCTCATCCAGTTCAGCCCCGAGCCCCCCGCCTACATCTTCTGGTACCACGAGGACGAGGTGAGCGGACAAAAAGTAATTATGACACAATTTTTCAATTACTTTTAGTGCTAAATTAATTTTCAACGGTCAGGCGATGACGTTATGAGCTCGGCCAATGTTTACTCTTTGACAAGTTCGTCTGACCTTTGGAAAACCAGTGCTATTAGTTTGACCAACATTAATTTACCCTTCCACGAACGATGGGCGGGGTTGGGATTGAAAATCAACAATTGCTTTTAATGAAACTTTCTCCAAAAGGCATTAAAGTATAAATAACGCGTAAGTAGTCCTTTCTGATTGGACGTTCTGGTTTGATTCTTAGCCACACATGGCGTGGAATGGGTTACTGAAAAATCAATATGATACCGCAGTCGGTCTTTTTAAGAAACACAAACAAAAGTTAATTTAATGTTGGTCCAACTATAGCCGTAATATATTTTAATGTAAGGTTAGATATTTAATTGATCAAGCAGAGCATATTTCCTGCATTCCTTTTTGTACACTGTAGCTACGCAATTTTTTCTTATAAAATTCATTACCTTTTTATGAAAAGTCAAAAAGATTTTGTCTGTAATATGATGCTCTAAACAAAGGAAGAAACTTTACTTCTTTCTACCTAGTATAATTCTTTGTCTGTTGTGTATCTGGTTTCTACTCTAAATGATAATTTTCATTTAAACGTTTCATACCAAGTTCAGCCCATTATTTTAGACAAAACAAATGGCAATGTTTTGTTGTAGCATAATGAGGCCGCGGCATTGGCACTGTAACGACTTGCCCTCTAATATTTCAACTGTAAGAAGTTTAGCTTGTCCCATTCATGTCGGCCATTTGAATGGAACAATTGTATAAACTATTTGTCTAAGCATAATTGCGTGTTATTGTTGTAACGCAAAGTTATTGCCATTGCCAGACACAACACTCTACATAATGAAATTAACAAAATAAACGTAGGTAATTAAATGAATAAGTAAGCCGCTAAGACTGTCATTGTGTTCAAGGCGGCTTTAAGTAATACAGGATTATAACTAACTAGCGGCCGCCCGCGACTTCGTACGCGTGGATCCCGTTTTACCCCCTTTTCCCGAATTTTCTTTGCTATAAACCTCACGGAGCCCGAGACCTTTCCAACGAATGCAAAACCGTGGAAATCGGTTCGTGAGTTCTGGAGTTATAGCGTCAGGGAGGAAAACCCGACTTATTTTTATATAGTAGATTAGTTATTCAGCATAAACTAATAACTTTTAATAGGTAAAGCTTACACTTTTGCCAATGTAGAAGGCTTATTTATACTCGAGATAGCCTGTATTAAAATGTCATAAGAAAATGGCTTTATATTGCAGAATGAATTTCTGAGTTAATATATCGTTTTAAACAACTATATTATCCCCCCCATCGTTTACTACACAAACACAATGTTAATGTTAATTCCGGAAGTGACAAGTTCCACGTGAAATGAGTTCAATCTCTGATGCAAGGTTAGTGATGAAACAGCACTAACAAACAATCCAATCTGGGCTCCAAATCACGGCAGATAGATGAGCCGATCTGCGCGGAACCCGACGCCTTGGCTCCAGCCAAGAGGAAACGGCCAACGCAATCGACGACACACCAAAACACTTAACAGACGTTTCGGTAAAATTTAAATTAATAACCGAATGCTTTGTGAAGCACAGAAACTAAAGGGAGATGTGACAAGGGGGCGGGGCCGGCGTCGCAGCAATATGCCCAAAAACAGAAAACATTGCTGCAGACGTCATAACGTAAACAGTTTACATTGCTTGCGTAGTACTAAAGATTATTCGAACGTTGAGTACTGATACCGCAGTGGATAATGAGCACATATTTTGATTACTTTGTACGTGTCAATTTCTAATGCGACATTGAGTTTCGAACTCAGCGCATTAGTTGGCATCTCTCTATATCCTATGGCTGCACCTATTTGGCTAAGAAACAAACAACTTTTAGCGTCGATGACCCTGTTGTTTTGAGTGGTAGGCTGTTAATGCCCTGGCTATACCGAGCCACAAGTACCGAGGCGCCGAGCGGCAGCGTGGTAATCGCTCACTTCATTAAAACAATACAAATTCAAATAGCTACCCGCTCTCGCCCCACTTTCGCCACCCGCGACGCTGTGAGCACCAAATAGTAAATGCTTATTGCCGGGATTTTCCACTTTAATAAATTCTAAAAATAATCACATTACTTCTGCCGAATGATAAACCTCCACGATTCATACAAAATGTGTGAATCGGAAAGTGTGAGTCGGACTCGCGCACGTAGGGTTCCGTGCCATTATTCAAAATCACGTTTCGTGTATGGGAGCCCCACGCAGGCATTTATTTTACATCATCTGTGAAAGTTCGTTCGTTCGTTCGTTCGTTTTCAACTGTCTATCACAATTCATGAGATACAGCCTGGTGACAGACAGACAAGGCCCTTTTTTACCCTTTGGGTGCGAAACCCTAAAAGTTATAACAATATAAAAATATGACCACGTTCGAAACTATCCAAGTATCAGAAAGAACAGATGAATTCCACGTTTTTTGTAATAGGCCATTTCAGCTCATAAAACATTTTCCAACAAAAACGTTATAATCGGGTTCCCCTACAATCCCCCACATGTACGTACGCGTGCGTTTATGACTCGAGTTACGACCCACCAGTAAGTAAGCACCTTTAATAATTAACGCACCTACTACATTATTTCAAACTCGAAGCGAACAAAAGCTCCGTGGCACCATTTTATTCCAAAGCGACACGTTTTGATGTGAGTCTCTTTTGACCATTACAAAAATAAGACTCGTAAGTGTACCACTTGTGAAAAGGTTACGTGATCTTATAAGACTCTCTGTTTGTCTTAGTAGATTCAAAAGCAAAACAAGATAGATATCTATGGAGAAAATGTTTTACTCCGTATTTTAGAGTATAAAAACTACCTACCGCGTAACAATCCAACTCGTTCAGTGATTGTTGTTTATAAGTTTCAACCAGATTAAACAAAAAAGGACAGTTTATGTATGCTCAATATCGTTTTTCGCAGGCTTTTGTTTAATTAAAAACAACCAAAAGTAAAGTATTAAACAATAGTAAATTATTATAACTTACATGGTATTATTTGGCAGGCACCCCGGAACAGCTTCTTCGTATCTGCAAATTAAACATTAAACGTTAACGAGTGGCGGCGACAGAACTGATTAGCATAATCCTCACGGGAATTACGAATTACATTACACATTCTGAACATAAACTGTACTCAAAGTTCATATTAAAAATTAGTACCAAAGGTTCCCCGGTGATATTAATTAGCGTTACTAACGGCAGTTGTTTGGAGCCGAGTAATTAGTTGTGATACTTGTAATTAGTTGGAATCGGCCTAAACTTGGGCGTGCGCACACGCCGCGCCGCCTCTGAATATTAATGTACCAGTTATGAGCTATTAGGCGTGGCTCACGAAGTTAAGGCAGTTGCCGGTGTGGTGCCCACTTGAGGTGTGCCCACAAGGTGTGCCCACGTCCAGTATCGTCATCTTAAGTAAATACAGTTCCCTTATTAAAATTATTAAATAGCTAGCAAACAGTATTGAATAAAGCAGTAGACATCAAGGTGCCACCGATCCACCGATCCGGGTCAGTTAAGTACAAATGTAATTTGCTAGATATTTCAAATCGAACTAGAACGAAACCAGATGCAGTAACCAGATAGAGAAATCATAAATTATGCTGAAAATCATGTTTCTTGCGATTGTGAGGACACTTTAAAATCGGTGTCGTTAGAAAATAGACATGAGTGACGCAAGCAATTATACATATGTAAATAGATCATTAACTTTGTCAGTAGAGCAGTGCAGTGTGCCTATTCACATTGAGACTGCGAGCGCTTCAAGTATCGACTATCTGCCAGCCCTGACCGGCTAGCCGCTGCACACGCCGCAAACATGTGAAATTGGAATTCTTGGGCATTTCCGCTAAAAACCTCTTTGCTCTAAGCTCGGTTTACTCTCCTGACGCGTCTAAAATGAGCTTAGGTTTTCCAAAATATTTCATTGCGGCCGTCGTAAAACCTAAGCCCTTTCTTTGTTATTTATATCCTTTTAGAACCCTTCGAACTGTCACAGAATAAGTAATAGTACAGGTACAGAAGGATTACTCCGCAAGACGATTTAAATAAATGCGAGTCTTGCTACGACGCGATACAGTGGAATTCAGCTCGCACAGCACTACGTACCTACAATTTTATTCACCTACAAGTTTTGTCTCTTTCTATCGCGTGCCTCTGAACTCTTCTTACGCTGTTAGGGTTGCTGTCTAGTGAAAAAATAATTAATCTACTTATTTGTAATGAGGTACGTATGTAGGTAAGTATGCAGTCATTATGGAAAACCTTCATAGTAGGTTAGGTTCCTATACTATCCTAAGAATTATTGATTACCTACATGGCCAACATACCTTTCAGCATCTTTGGGAAGCGAAAAAAAAAGATAAATCCGGTAGATTACTTTTCGAATTTAAACACCCGAACGCCGCACAATATTTCTTTCTCTTTATGTCCATTTTTAAATAATACTTCGATCATAGAATTATAATCATACTACAACGCATGCCAGCGTCCTGACGAGCGCGCGCGTGACACTCGACTGATATAATACCCGCCGGCGGGGCGCTTCGCTGTAGGTAATTAACGGATGTACCGCGCGGAGTGAGCCAGGCCTGGAACTGTGCAGCACATTATTCATCTTAAAATACGTATTAAACTCCAATTCTAAACCAAAGATAATAAGATAATGGTCAAATAATATTTTCTCGCGTGAATTTATGTGCTCATGAAATGCCTATTTTAATGAATAAGGTAGGCATGATCACTTAACGCAGTGGTTCTTAACCGGTGGTCCGCGGACCACTGGTGGTCCCTGGAGGCATTCCAAGTGGTCCACGAAGTGCACTTGCACGCCTTAGTCAAAAAAACTTTTAACTGATTTTTGCAGTCAAACTGGTTTACTTTTGACCGATTATGATTATGAGGTGGCCCCTGACAAGACAGAAATTTGGTAAAATGGTCCCTCATGACTGAAAGATTAAGAACCACTGACTTAACGGGTACAAGCACATTAAACGCAAACCATGGTTAATTGGTTCATAAATGGATGGCTCAAAAAAACTACATATTTTGATTGATACTGTGCTGTGTACTATTCCTAAATAAATAAAAAATAATGAAGTATTATATTTCTAGTTAAATTAATTTCTAGTTGTTGTACGACTAAATGTGTAACGGTGTAAATGTGTTGTGAAGCAGGTGATTTCGTACGACTCGTCGCGCGGCGGCGTGTCGGTGGTGACGGAGAAGGGCGCCGCCACCACGTCGTACCTGCTGGTGCAGGACGCCGCGCCCGCCGACTCCGGCCGCTACTCCTGCTCGCCCTCCAACGCCGAGGTGGCCTCCGTGCGCGTGCACGTGCTCAACGGTCAGTTCGTTTCAGCCAAATGACGTCCACTGCTGGACAAAGGCCTCCCCCAAGGTTTTCCACAATGAACGGTCCTGCGCTGCCCGCATCCAGGCTCTTCCCGCGACCTTTTCCAGATCGTCGGTCCACCTAGTAGGAGGCCTGCCCACGCTACGTCTTCCAACCCGTGGTCGCCACTCGAGAACTTTCCTGCCCCAACGGTCAGTACCGCAAGAGTAAACAAATGAGTAGGTCATCTTCATAGAAACGCACCGAGCGCGATTTCATATAAAAAATCCCGCGCGCAGACGCGTTGTCAGTGTGTTGTGCCGCGCGTGTTTTCTATACAAACTGAGGCACTTGCATACAATGATTAAATCTGTCGTCCCGCGCACCGCGGCGGAGCGCGGCACAGTGTGATAATCGCCTAATCCACGCAAAATTTTGTCAGTGTGTGCGTTCGCGCCGCATACGTATTGGCGCGCTCACATACAAACCGCGCTCGGTGCGTTTCTATGAAGATGACCTACTCATTTGTATTTACTATGGTACCACCCTCTTCCGCTGGTGCAGCGAGGAACGCACGATTGTTAAACGTACTCTTTTGAACTACGAGACCGTATTCACAAACATTACTATGAGGTCTCACAGTGCGCGTGGACGCACAGGGTGACACACAACCAATCACAGAGCTCTATTCAACGCTCATTCAATTTGCTGCTCCATTTAAGCAAGTATCGTTTGTGAATACGGGCGTATAACTACATCGCATGAGACAAAGTAAAACAGGAAACGGACCGCAATATTAATTCACAAAGTGGTTAAAACTATTTTCCCCTCCGTGAGTGGTACAACCGTACTAATTATAATGTTAACATAGCCGAAGCGCTTGTAATTTATTCATACAGGCGCCATTCTGCGGCGGATGCTGCTGGCGCACAAAGCGTCGCCATTCGTTCGCTCAACTCGGCTCTGGCCGCGAGGAGCTCGAGCTAAGCCGGGCTGTCTCATCCTGTAATTTAGGTATTACATTTGGAGACTTCGCTGAAGGCACCTATTGAATCAGTCGTTAGGCGTAAAGACGTTCCCTTACAATACCTTTTACAGGTATATGAGCACGCCTATTGAATGCATTTTTTTTAATATGACACACATTGCATTGCATGTATTTGTGCAATGTGTGTGAAAATATTAGATATCTTGCTTTGGGCGATGTCGTCGTTTCAGCCAAATGGCGTCCACTGCTGGACAAAGGCCTCCCCCAAGGTTTTCCACAGTGAACGGTCCTGCGCCGCCCGCATTCAGGCTCTTCCCGCGACCTTTACCAGATCGTCGGTCCATCTAGTAGGAGGCCTGTCCACGCTACATCTTCCGATCTATTAAATTATAAAAATCACTGTCCGGAAGTTACTATTATTTTTAAACAGATTCCATTTTCTACTAGGTCACTATTCTGTGATTATTATTAAACACAGTTACGTGTGCATAGACACCGTGAGAAATGCCCGCTCTCGCCTCTGGAATGCATCTCGCATTCTGCATTTGGAACGACGGACTGTGCGGACGGACGTTACGCAAGAGAAAGTCCATTACACGCTCATTTGTATGTTCTTACAAAAGACAATGCCGGAAATTGGCGTCTTTTTTTTTCGCGCGGCCATCGACCAAACCTTGTTTTTAACCGACTTCAAAAAAGGAGGAGGTTATATGTTCGACTGTATGTATTTTTTTTTTCTGTGTATGTTCACCGATTACTCCGTCAATTGTGGACCGATTTTCAAAATTCTTTTTTTGTTCGATAGGGTACTCTTCTGATGAGGTGGTCCCATTGTCACCAAGTCAGGATCTGATGATAGGATCCTAGGGAAATCAAGGGCAACCCTCAAATTTTATAGGCACGTATATCGTTTTTCAAACTTTTTCTTAAGTTATTCAAGTATTTGCTCCTGGAAATCATCATCTCATATTGATGAGCTGATGATAGAAGGTAAAACTCCTTAATGCTTAGGAGTTGGAGGATAATTCTTTTAATTTTATAGATGTTGCAATTTCATACAAAACTTGCGCGCAAAAAGCAAATCTAGTATGTAAGTCATCAAACTTCTAACGCTCGTAACTCAGTTCAGACTGAGTTTAGAGGTATACATGTCGTAGTAAGTTTGATTTATTACACTATTTTGTAATCGAAAAACAAAGTTTGGTCGATGGCCGCGCGAAAAAAAAAAGACGCCACCTTCCATACAAAATCTGGCATTGCCATTTAGTATTCCGCATAATTACGAGTACATCAAGAACGTGACCTCAAGAGATGCAGATTACAGTCATGCCTATTTTAAATTTAAATATCTCTAGCAACGCCTGCAGCGACCGCTCAGCGCAAGTAATGCAAGAGATGCATTCGGCGTTTTCAACCGATTCGGCCGTCTACGCCAGGAGTTCGTGCTACGCACAACATAGATAACCGTTGCAGGCTCTTGTGAGCTAATTCTCGAGCATATTAATTAAGCTTTACTTGACGTCGTTTGAACGAGACGTTGTGATTGCAGGCGAGCGGCCGGCGGCGATGCAGACGGGGTCGGCGGGGCTGTCCAACAGCTCGCGCTGCATCCTGGCGCTGCTGGCGGCGTGCGCGCTGCACGCGCGGCTGCTGCGCGCGCAGCTGGCCAGCTGATCGCGCGAGCGCCCCGCGCGCTAGGCCCGCCCCTGCCCCGCCCGCTCCCGCGGCCCACGCGGCGAGAAGCGCGCTACGTGTTCGGACAATACAAGTGCACGAGTGCGTAAACTCTCAGTGACTCTCGAAGCGCATAGAAAATATTTAAATGAATGTTACGAAATTTTTCGTCTAAATAAATTTTAAGCGAAAACTTAGTTTTCGAGTTACTAATAAGTAAATGAAATTATTTAAAAGAGGTTAGTTATTATAATATAAGATTTTTATGAAGAGCAAAGTATGTAATAAGATCACTGTGATTAACTTTGGCTGAAAATCGCCAGATCTCAGAGCACTCGCATTTCACAGATCATCTGTGACTTCATATGCCACAGTTTTCAGACAGAAGATCAGACTATTTACACTTTACTTGCATAAGCATTTAATACTCGAAAGCAATTGTTCATTTTCAGACTAAATTGGGTTTCAAAATTAGTCGATAATTAATTTTCTAATAAACATTTGCAACTAAAGCTTTCAAGATACAATTAGAGAACTATTCAAATGAAGCATTCTTCAGAATTAATCTTGCGAACGCAATTTAGCAAAAAGAACAGAATTTGTTACTCACAATTAGTTATCTCGAGCAAATTGGCTCGTCCAATTAGCGTTTCACCACAGAATAATACGAGTTTATTATACGAGTAGTAGCGCACGACGCGGCGACTATAGCGCGACCACGAATAACTTCACAGATCTTCTTTGATAAAGGAAATAAAATTATTTTGCACTTACCGGCATTAACGTTTCATAAATAAGATTTTGACTGAATTCTTCCCAAGTCGAACTTGCAATATGTCATGTACGTTACAATTTAATTTCTTAAACAAATTAACGAATTTATTTTATTTCTTGTGATCTTTGGCTACCTAGTTATTTTTCAGAAGTTATCAATGTCTTTCAGTTAAAAGAAAGGAATTTTTAAAAATACATTTTAAATGCAAAAATGTTATAGGTATTATGACAAATGTATCTGAGTATAATAACCGTCATGAGCACTGACTCTGACTGAGCGTGGCATATGAAGACACAGGCTGGTCTAGCTCCACTCTGTAAATAATGGCCGATTATATTGATGTGAGATTGGAACCAGGTCCATTCATCGACAATTTTTGTAAGTGCAAGAATTTGATCTGCATTTAGTGACATTATTTTATCTTGTGTGCATGTAAATATCATCAAAGTACCTACATAACTTTTATAGATTCATTAATTTCGCCATCTGTGAAGCCCGTATTCTGTAGCGACACTCAGCACTTGAATCAAACTCTAGCTGTTATCATAATTATTATAGGTTGAACTCAATAATCGAATTTTGAGCATCGCTTTATAATACGGGCTTAAAAGTATCAAAAAGTAGCCAATGGTGATTCCACAAGTAAAGGGTTATATCAATCTGACACCAATATCTTGAAATGTTATGTATATTCACCTATCCAAACGTTTATTTCTTGTACATTCCTGTCGTTTGCTCCGACTGGAGACTGTAAATAATAACTAATTTGATAAATGTTTAAGATGAAAAACTTATAGAAGGTTATAAGCCATAGTTAACTAATGTACTATCGTTAGTGGATGGAGTTTCGTCCGGTGTCTTAAAAGGCTCTGCCAAGCAGCGAGTGCGAGCGCAGGCTTGTGCCTGTTGCACGCTAGAATGTTTACTATGTCATTAAGGAATCGGATACAATTTTGTTAGCTGATTTTATTTGAACTGATTTGTCGTTTATTGATTTATCTTATAACATTTAGGGCCTCTTTCATGTCCGAGTAAAGTTCTAAGAAGCTACTTCCTGATTAACACTATTTGGCAAGTAAATTACTCAATTGGTAGAAATAAGAAACTTCAAACATTGACATATAAAGGTCAAATAAAGCATTACTCAACAGACGAAGCTAAGAGTACCTACATGCACATTTGCTTATGTGCTACACAAGTAAGTAACATTATTCTTTAATCTTTAATCAACGTTATTCAGAGATGGCAAAATTAGATAAATTGGTACTCGTGACTTTTAGCAACATGTTGCCTACTTGACACCTTACTCGGAGATGGTGAACGAGGCCGATAATGTACCTACAATTTAAGCTTTGTCCGAACTTTTTTACATTTTCTATTTTATTTAGAGGTGGTTGTAGTATGTACTTTCAATAAATCAACTGATTATTTCAACAATGTACTGGAACAATAAATTGTTGAATTGAAGTTTTTGTAAAGCACTATTGTATTCTGACAGGCTTAATTTAAATTGGAGGCATTTTCACACGCATTGTATTCGTTAAAGCTATTTGACATTGTTTAAAAGTTAATTTAAAATATTATATTTTCATTTTCTCTTATACATATTCTGCACTAGACTTCTGGTTAGTCTTGTATTACTTCTGATGTCCTAATGATGTCTACACGATATTATAAAGAGGAAAAATTTGATGTTTATATTGAATAGGCACAAAAACTGCCGGACCGATTTGAAAAAAAAATCACAATTGGAATCCTACCTTATTTCTGATGAACATAGGCAGTATGAAGTTCGCCGGGTCAATCAAACCCGCATTTAGGTTGAGAGCTCAATCATTGCATAACCGACGTAATGATTGCAACAGCGTTTATTTAAAATCCTCTTTTGCATATTAATGTGAAATTATAAAGTTTTTATTGAACAACTAATCTTAGGGACCCTACTAATTTCAACGCTTACCTACCTCTTGATTTTTCAAGCTTTTTTTATATAAATATTTGTTTGAAGAAACCTCAAAGAGTTGGCCATACGTTTACCAAGGTCGTGACTTAACGGCAGACTATTGATTGTAATATTTAGCAAGATATCGAATTTTAGTTCGATTCACCAAATAGATTAATTTGTTGATGATAATGCGAGTGGTTAGTTTTTTTTTTAAACGGATAGTTGTTTTAATTTTTTACTATCATTTATGTAAGCACATCTGACTGTGGTAACCGTTTGTCATTAATTTGGCTCCGAACAAAGCATTTATATTAAGAAGAGACACCTGCTGACTGAAGTTATATCAGACGTCATCAGTCTAACAGGAAACTCGTAAGAGCTACACTGTGAGAGGAATCAACTGCCGTTGCAAGTTGCGACTAATTTACCGCTAATTTACTTGTTTCTAAGTAGGTACATTTTAATTTTTGAATCTTTAGTAAACTAAAATACTCAAATCATTTGAGGAAATGTGATATTCCGAAAGTTTGGAGCTGTACAGACGATAGCATATTACTTATAAGATGCCAGTGCAGTGTTAAAGCTTGATTTGCTTTGTCATTATTAAAAAATGTTCATAAGTGAAAATCATATTAAATATCTTCTAATTTGAAATAATTTACCTAAAGCCTCGAAAGTGTGTATTTGTTCCCCTCAAGTTTAGTTTCAATCAATCCAGTGATTAATTTGGTTAGAAGCTCGAAAGCGAGACGATCGGCCGCGTTTGACGACGGACTAACTTCACGGTTTGTTTATTCTCTGCCTCGATTGATTACTAATCAAAGAGACACTTTTTGACCGCAACTACGGGTAATATAGTTTAAAAACGATTAGACGGAGTTAATTGAAAATTGTTGTCGGTCATGAAAACTAACAATGGCCAGGGTAAAATGACGATTTAAAATGAAGTTGTTCAAGAAACTAACCACTCGTGTTTAATTAATATAAATTTATAAATAACTGTTCAGGCGTTATTTTAAAACGTTTACATTAAGATCTACCGAATAATTGTAAAGTACGACTTAACAAATTGACACGTTTTTGTATAGAATACAAGTGTAAATATAATATAGAAAGGTTTTACAATAAATCGATCTAAGTAGAGGCAGACGTGGAGACTATGTATGTAAAACATGAAACTTTATGTATACATAAACCGAAGTTTGTTTTCAAATAAAATATTTAATATTTAACAGAAGTTTCATTGATAAACACATTTCAGTGTACCTACAATCACACTGTGAATAAAAAGGTAGTAAGTAGGCAATATTTTAATGGAAAGCAGCATTAATAACGTTACTTATTTATGAACAGGATTACCGGTTATCACAACAATGTAGAATAGGAACAAATTCCTTATGTCATTGAATTGGTGGAGTATCAAATTGTAACATCGCCCGCATACAATGCGCCGTCCGTCTGGACACACAGCGATTACGATATCGCGCCAGTCGCGCGTAAGCAAATACAAGCTAAGCTGAATGTGTCGAGCCATTCGACCAATAAGTATTGTGAATGCCTATTCGCTGGGTGCGAAGTACTAGGTGGGGGGGACATAATCTATCGCAGCGCTCATGGTGGTCAAAAGTAGAAATAATGTTAGCTCTGTCATCAGATGTATCTGTCAATGGCAAAGCGATTCTACTTAACACATTTTAATGTCATTAATTAATCGCATGAAAAGGGTCCTACTGGGAACTTAAATAAAAGAGTGGACTGTATTTCGATAGGGCTGTTTTAATAGCCGTTTACAATTTGGAAATAACTAAACTATACAACGTGGTAGTACAAAAATGAGTCACAGTAGTTGTTGTGCACAGATGTTTGCCTTATGATGAGAGCGTGAATTATTGAACTCTGCCCTTGTTTTGTTCTTAATTCTTCTACATCTCGGACTTCAAGTCCAGCCAATACCAACAACTTTCCTTTAAATACGGTTTGTGGTTGGAATTTGATATTGTAACTCTCACAAACCCGGTCTTCAAAACGATACTCATTTCGATCTGAAAACGATATTTAATTTATTACTAGCGATACAGAAACATTTAAATATATTTACTGTTATATAATGAAACCGTTAAAGTAGCTTTTTCTTTTTGTTTTACTGTAAAACTACAACTATAAATGAAGTAAACAAACCCTGACACAATCAAAATTAAACACACTTTTTGGACTTACCTCATTTGATTTGAATGACCAAAATGATTTCAAAACCTTTTTTCCACCCAAATCGTGGTATCACAACAATTTATTAGTTGAAAATATTTGTT